AAGTAACTCATTCCTGTTTTCATTCAACTGTTTATCGCTCAATCCATCCATCCACTCATTAAATTTTAATAAATAAAATTTGATACAAATGTTCTGCTTGGATGTTAAAAATTTTTTTTTATCTGAAGCTAATAGAAACAATATAATTTTTCAAGTGAGTTCAATTAAATTTGTTTAGAGGAATTACCTTCTAAAGAAAATATCTCTCAATAAAGTTTCATTCATTCGTTCGTTCGTTCAATTGTTTGTTCTTAGGTTCATTCATATATCTGTTTGATTGTTCATTAATTTGTTTATTTAATTTTTTTGGTTCATTTGTTTTTTCGATATTTGTTTGTTCATTTTTTGTTTTTTCATTCATCCATTTCCATTTCGTTTGCTCATTTATTCAATTATTCATTCATTCATTCGTCTGTTCATCCATCTCTCTATCTATAGATAACTCTTTTAGGCATGGTTTTGTACACATACACATTATGTACACGTATTGTGCATGCATACATGTATGCATGTATGTATGTATGTATGTATGTATGTATGTATGTATGTATGTATGTATGTATGTATGTATGTATGTATGTATGTATATATGTATGTATGTATGTATGTATGTATGTGCGTGGTTGTGTGTGTGTTTGTGTGTGTATGTGTGTGTATGTGTGTGTGTTTGTGAATGTGTATTAATATATATGCGTGTAGTTGTTATTGCTTCCGGAGTTTCGTTTATAACTGATGTTAATATATTAGCTTCTTATCTGTATCAGACTATATATATGTTTTTTGTCTGCGCGGTTGTATGTTTATATGTATGTATGTATGTATGCATGTTTGTTTGTTTGTATGTAAGTATGTTGTTATGTATGTATATATGTTTGTTGGTATGTAGGTATGTATGTATCTATGTATGTTGTGTGTGTATGTATGTGTGTATGTGTGTGTGTGTGTGTGTGTGTGTGTGTGTGTGTGAGTTTATGCATGTATCTATGCGTTATAATTTTTTCTTATCTACATACCAATCATCAAAGTGATTTTTTTCGCAACCACCCTCATCACCATCTTCATCCTCCTTCTCCTCTTCATCATCATCATCCTCAACATCATCATCATCATCATCATCCTCAACATCATCATCATCATCATCGTCCTCAACATCATCATCATCATCATCATCCTCAACATCATCATCATCATCATCGTCCTCATCGTTGTTGTCGTCGTCATCGTCGCCAACATCATCATCAGGACCTCATAAATATTCATGACTGATGAAGATAAGGATAGAAATGTTTGTGAATAAAATACGTACATACGCATATACACATACAAACATACGCACACATACATACTCATACACACATACACATACATACACACAAACATCACACAAATACATACAAATAATATGGTTGTTATTTTTGCTTATAAAAATTTTATGATTTCAATTTACTAAAATTAGTCTGAATAGTTTTTATTTATTTCTCTTTTTTAAGTTCCATAACAATAAAACAAAAATTAACATCAATAATAATAATAATAATAACAACAACAACAATAATAATAATAATTGATCGAAACTCGATCCATAACATAGAAAATGGCAATAATAATAAACATTATTATGCCACAATATATATATCATATATATACATATATATAAAGTCAAATATATATAAATATATATACATACATATATATATATGTATATAAACAACACACACATATATTATACACACACATATATACATAGAAACACAGTAATTGTTTTCAGTTTTTTGTTAAATTGAAATGAGAATGAATGAGCAACCAATTATGTCATTATATGAAAACATCAAAAGTTAAAAAAGTTAATCATTAATTAAATATAGATAAAAAATATAAATAAATAAAATAATTGTATATATGCAATTAGTTAACACAGATGTATTTGTTAAATAGTAATTATACTAACAGTGTGTTTATATACATAAATGTACACACTTACACAAACATATATGCAGAGAGAGAAAGAGGGAGAGAAAAAAAGAAAGAGAGATAAAGAAAGAAAGAGAGAAAGAGGGAGAGAGCAAAAAAAGAGAAAGAGAAAGAGAGAGATAGAGAGAGAGAGAAAAAAAAGAGAATGAGGTATATTCAAATTAAGATGCAAATTAAATTACATATGAATGTAAAAAATGATTTCATTTTTAATCTAAGAACAAACAAGAAATGATCTTCTAGACACATTTGTTTCATTGTCTGTATTTGTCTTCATTTTTTTCATCACCATCATCATCACCACCACCACCATCATCATCATATCCGTCGCCATCATCTTAACACACCAGTAAAATACTTATTACGATTACTAACACCACTTATGGTATTCATCTTCCTGGCATTACTGCTCGCACCATTATTATAAATGTCACCAGCATTGGCATTGTTGTTGCTGCTGGCGTTTTTACCCTTTTTACCACCATAAAAATAGCCAACCATCGTCTCATTACCATCACGTACAGACGTTTTATTGATGGTGTTAGCTTTATTTGAGTTGATGTTAGGTGTGGTGGTGGTGTTGGGGTTGTTCTTGGGCCCTCGATTCGCTAAAATGGGTTCATTTGTGGGATTTTTAAATGTCGATAAGGAATGATTTTTATTTTTAGAGTACTCCAGAGCGCAAATCGAAACTTGACAGGGAGGTTGACTCGATTTTATTCGATTCTGTACAAACTCTCTCTCGAAGTCCGACAGTAGCATCTCTATCGGTTCCGGTTTGACTCGGGGTGGTGGTGATTTCAACGCCCTCTGCTGCGAACTGTCGAATGAATGTTGTGGCTGGTGCAAGTTCTCGAAAGGAGGCTTCGTTTTGTGTGAGTTGTCGTATGAGTTTTGTGTTCTGTGTGAAATGCCATTTGCTGCGGAGATATTGTTTCGCTGTCGGTTTAATGTGTTTGCCTTGTTGTTGTTGTTATTGTTGAGTGGGTCGTCGTTGTTGTTGTAGGACGTTGAATTGGCGGTGAGTGGTTGTCGGTCGGTCAAATAACTATTCGAATCGACAGTTTGACTATTTGTCGGTTTCATATTCGAAACTCCGGAAATATTTTTTTTCTCATTGTCGAATTTAAATTTCACGTCATCAACATTTTTCCCTGCTTTTCGTCTCCTTCTCCTTCTGATCAGCAGGCAGCAGACGACGACGACGACGATGATTAAGATTGCCAACACGATCAAACAAGACAATCCCAGAATCATCGCATCGATATACTGGAAACCCCAAAATAATTCACCATCTTTCGAGCCATCATCGTCCATTCGACCTTTCAACCAAGGCATGTTTCGATGAACGTTATCTGAAACATAATTTGGAGGCGTTTCGTCGATTTTAACGAAAAATCTCAAAGTACTGCTTCTAGGTGGGTTACCTTTGTCGATAGCTGTTGCTATGATTGAGATTGTGGCGTTTGGGGGAAGATTTTGAAAAGTTGTAGAAGCCAGCGTGAGCGCTCCAGTGTGGTTGTCGATTTTAAACATGTTGTAATATTCGGAGTTGTCATAATCGAGTCGGTAGTAGATTTGAGCGTTGTTGCCAATATCTCTATCGGTCGTTTTGAAACGAGTAACCAGTGAGCCGGGTTTAACAAATCGGTATATTGGAATCGTTGACGCTGGGAAATCGTTGAGATCACTGTAGTTGTTTTCATCGTCGAACTTTTCATAATTTTTGTAGATTGCATTCACGTTACCGTTCTCAAATTCTCCAGATACATCGTTGACAAAATCTACGCCTTCTCTTAAAGGAAACTCGTTTTTCTTTTTCTTCTTGCGCCCGTTGGCGTAGGATGGCGCGGCAGGTTCAATCCACTCGGGGTCGTTGTCGTTTTCGTCGAGAACGTACACAACAATGGTGGCTGTTGATGTCAGCGATGCGTTGTTATCGTCACGAGCCTCGATGAGGAATTGATAATCGCTTCGATATTCGCGGTCGAGTTTTGTTGCTGTAACAATCTTTCCGGATTTCCTGTTGACGTCGAATAATTTGTGAGGTTTGTTATCGCTAGTGGAGATGAGATGGAATGAAAACTCGTTGTAGGGTGGCGAATCATCATCTTTTGCCACTACCATCCCTATTTCCGTCCCTAGAGGCTGGTTCTCATTAACACTGAACGAAAATGTACTCATGTGAAACTGAGGAGCGCAGTCGTTAATATCCAGAATGAATATTTTTATTCGACTTTTTGAGCAGCGACTGTTGCTGCTGAAGTTTTCATTGTCACAGGCAAAAACGGAAAAGTCGATAGTGGGATATTTTTCGCGATCTATCGACTCCAAAACTCGCACAATGCCGGAGTTTGGTTGAACGCTGAAGAGCTTCGAATGAAAGTTCGAATTAAAGTCGTTGAAAGCAAAAATGCCCAAGTCTGCAGCAGGCGGTGTGTTGAGAGTGTAGAAGATTTTTGCATTGCTTCCAATGTCCAGATCGGTTGCCAACACTTTAACGATGTCGATGCTTCTGTCGTTGTTTTCTCTCAGGTCGATTTCGTAAAGATTTTTTTCAAACTGCGGAAAGTTATCATTGACATCGAGTATTTCAATTTCAATTAATTTATCGGTGTACAACGGAACATCTCCCATATCATGGCAAATAATTTTCAACAAGTACCGATCATTTTGTTCTCGATCGAACATAACTGATGTTAATATTTCATACTCTCCGTCCGTATTAACAAATCTTAATTTGAAAAAATTCGTCTGCTCGATTTGGCAGTTTATCCGCCCATTATTGCCATAATCGGCGTCGGTTACCTGAACTTTTGCTACAAAAGTATCGGAATTCAAATTCTCATAAACTCCAATTTTGTCCGATCCTAAGCTCTGCAGAGGTGTTATTGTGATTTGTGGTTTGTTGTCGTTGACGTCAACCACTTTGATGACCACAACAGTTTCCGATGACTTCGATTCTGGACTGCCATTATCTCTTGCAGTGATCATCAACTTGTACATCGTTTGGTTCTCGTAATCGAGAGAGCTGACCACAACAACCTCGCCATTGAAATGATTCATTTGAAATATCTTCCCGAATTTCTCGGCCGTTCTCGTATCGAAATGGTACTCAACCTCTCCATTTTCACCGAAATCAGCATCGTCCGCTTTCACTTTTGCTATGGTCGAATTGACGGTGAAATTTTCAGGAACCACAACTTCGTATAGTTTGTATTCGAAAGTAGGCGCGTTGTCGTTGGCATCTTTGACATTTACCACTATTTCTAGGGTTCCGGTAAGGGGTGGTGACCCCCCATCAACTGCGGTCAAGGTCATAAATAATTTATCTTCCTTCTCTCTATCTAATTCTCTTATCAGCGTTAAGTGTAATTCACTGGATAAGTCGTCTTTAATCGTAGAATTTATTGCGAAATTTAGTTTCGAGTTTTCGCTCGCGTCATTTGAACGCGCAAAACTATTCTCCAGTCCGTACCGTTTTATTGAAAACTGTTTCGAGTCTTTATCTACAGGGGATGGTAGTTTGAAAACCGAATTCACGGGTGCCGATTCCGATATGTCGAGATTTATGAGGGGTGATTCGAATTTCGGTGAATTGTCGTTAACGTCTAGAATTTCAACGTTGATCTTAATCAATCGGAAATATGAAACTGGCTCGATGGCTATATCGAGTCGGATTTCACATTTTTGGATTTTTTTGAACGGTTCGATTGCTTTCGATTCGAATATTCGTTGATTCGGGCACATTTCTTCACGATCGATACGACCTTTAGTACGAATAATGCCATTTTTTTCGACCACAAACACATCAAATATCGGTCGGTTGATCAGCTTGAATCGGATAATATCGAGAACATTCAAGCCAAATTCGTCGATTAGTTCGGCTTCTTTTTTTAAATCGAAAATTCGAGAATTTACTGGAATTTCTTCGCTGATCATCAGATTTTTTTCGATTTGCTTTGTTGAAGATTGACTAATTTTAAAAAAATTTGCCACCATCAGGGTTAGTATTATTATAAATGTATCCACATTTTTTTGTTCATATGTTACTATGTGCATTGCTGATCAATCTTTCTCTGTCTTGACTAAATTTTAAGAAAAAAAAAATTAAATTTCATTAAAGTTTGCGAATCATTTTAGAATAAAATCCAATAGAGTTAAGAATAATATGATAATTTATGAGGAGTATTAATATATGGTAAAAATAAATTTATGTATTTGTATGTGTGAGTGTGTGAGTCTTTGTGTGTGTGCGTGTGTGTGTGTGCGTGCGTGTGTGTGCGTGTGTGTGACCATCGGCGTGTTTGTATGTGTTCAACAACAGCAATTTTATAATAAGTATAGCAATAATATTAAATATAAAACTGTTATAATAATAATAAATATAATAATAATAAAATAATAATAATAATAAAGAATGTTTGCTTACAGAAAGGTTTAATATATAGTACTAAGCATAGCTAATAAATATCTTTATAAACGATTTAGAAAAATGTAAGCGAAGAAGTAGAAGAGAATAGGCATAATAATAATAAAAAAATTATTACAAATAATAAATAATAATAGCAAATAAATAAATAATAAGAATAAAAAGGTTGTTAGTTTACAGAAATATAGTTTAGGAATATCTATATAGATGATTTATCAGCGAGAAGCTTAGGGCGAATTCACTTCTGTTTTTATTATTCTTGTTATTTTGTTGTGGTTAATGTTATTATTATTATTAGCGTTGTTTTGTTGTTGTTATAACTTATGTTATTGTTGTTTTCGTTGTTGATATGGTTAATTTAGTTGCAGTCGTTTATAACATTTATGTAGTTGTTGGTGGCGTTATATCTACTGATATTGCTATGGTTATTTTTACTGTTGTTGTTGTTGTTGTTGTTGATAATGGTAATAATAGTTGTTGTTGTTGATGATAATAATAATAATAAAATAATAAAAATAAATTATGAATTTTTATTATGGTTGTATTAATTATATATGGCGTGTTACTTATAAGACGTTCGGTGGAGTTGTTTGGCTGTTAATAATAATCATGTTCTTTGTATCATTGTTATTATTATTATTATTATTATTGTTATTATTATTATTATTGTTGTTGTTGTTATTTTTTTATGTAACTGATTTTATGGGCTATGAATGGTGTTTAGAGTGATAATATTTTTTAATAAATGCATCAGAAATTTTTTTATCGTTATTACTATTCCAGTTAACATCATCGTCGTCGTCGTCATCTTGTTTTCCATCTTCTTCTTTTTCTTCTTCTTCATCATCATCACCATCATTAGCATCGTCGTCATCGTCATCATCATCATCATCCTTGTTGTGTGGTTGGACGTTATTGTCATGGTAATCAATCGATAAGGCGAAACAATTTTAGCTACGCTACTACTACTACTGCTGCTGATGCTGCTACTACTACTGCTGCTAATGCTGCTACTACTAATACTACTACTACTGCTCCTTCCATTTTTTTTACATTCAATTATTCAAAATTTCAAAAAACATACTTGAAGTTTGTTTAGCGCATTTCTATTTGATATCATATTGTTTATTACACATATGTATGTGTATGTGTTTGTTTAGGTATGTGTATGTGTGTGTATGTGTGTGTTTGTTTGAGTATATGCATGTGTGTGTGTGTGTGTGTGTGTGTGTGTGTATGTATGTGCGCGTGTAACTGTACTAAGGGTCTACAGAGATTTGGGTTATTGTTGTATGTAAAGAAGAACAAATGAAAAAAATTCATCATTTTTGTCCATGTCTTTGTTGTCGTAATTGTGTTGATGATGTTTTATTACCATCATCGTCGTCATCGTCATCGTCATCATTATCATGGCGGACATCATTATCATGGCGGACATCATTATCATGGCGGACATCATTATCATGGCGGACATCATTATCATGGCGGACATCATTATCATTAGTATCATTGCATCATCATCGTTGTTTTAGTGGCTTTTTTACTCTTAACGTAATCATATTTTAATTGTTTTTTATTAAATATTATCATCCTGTATGTTTGTATGGATGTGTGCGCGTGTGCGCGTGTATGTGTGTGCGCGAGTGTGCGTGTGCGCGCGTACAGTCAATAACTTTATATTACATGCATGAATCAATCAAACTTAGATGGAGATAAAAATTAGAGAATAAAACAAAATACTTCGACACAGACGTGAGTGCACTGGTGTGTTAAAGCTACTACTACTACTACTACTACTACTACTACTGCTGCTGCTACTACTACGACTGCTGCTGCTACTGCTGTTACTACTACTACTACTACTGGTACTACTACTGCTGCTGCTACTACTACTACTACTACTGCTGCTGCTACTACTACTACTACTACTACTGCGGCTACTACTACTTCTACTGCTGCTGCTGCTACTACTGCTGCTGCTACTACTACTACTGCTTAGAGATTCTTATTTGGTTACTTTTTGAGAGAGTGAATAAAATTGTGTAGGTGTATGCTGAAGGACAAACTCTGCAACATGTAGAATATGGAGACGTACCCTTAGATAGGAAACGAACTTACATAAATATATACAAATTAAAACAAAATTACACATACATACAAATACACATACATACATCCTACATACACACGTACACACACACACATACATGCATACATACACACAAACAAACAAACAAACAAACGAACATACCTACATATGAAATTAAGTGATAACATAAATCAAATTGCATGTACGCGCATGAAGATGTTAAAAAAATGCCTACAGAAAAAGAATTTCCTTGTCTCGAAACTTATCACGAAACATAAGAATAATAAATATAGAGTGATAAATAATAAGAATAATAATAAATAAAAATGATATTATTAATTATAAATAATGATAATAAAAAAAATACTTTATCCTTCTTTATCTTCCTGGAAGAATTTATTTTACTTTTCGCAACTTCTTGCAATAATTTATATTTAGTCTTAAATGCCTCTAAGTTTGTATATATATATGTGTGTGGATGTGTCTGTATTTTACGTATATATTTTATGTTTGTACATATGTCTGTATGTATGCATGCATGTATGAATATTGGGATTTTTATTTTCCAATTTGAATTAATCATTTGAACTTTTTATTTTTTTATTTTTGCTATGACATTCACTCAGTTACACTTTAATTAAGGCGGTTTGCACAAGTTAATTTTCTTTTAGATCTTCTGGTGATTTTCTTTTTTAATGAATGGAACCAAATAAATGAATGGAAAAATGTATGTGTTTGTATGCATGCATGCATGCATGCATGTATGTATGTATGTAGAAACTCGAACACAACGAGCGTTCAGCGAGAGTCTTCAGAGGAAGAATTTTCGTCAACGAGTCTTTCGGCCCTTTAACTTGCTGACACTCTCGAGAAACAGGGCCACATGCAGAGATCAGTTGGATGTCTCTTGCTGAACAAACAATCTGCCTCGCTTTGAAATCACCTCCTTTTTTACTGAAGAATTGTGTAGGCATGCCAGACAGTTCACTTATAACCATATCACGATGTGATTATATCGACGAGCCAAGTAACACGCTGAGCCGAATCTGGGAGTGTTGAGTAGTCGGAAGCCTTACGTGCCACAAGCTCGTCTGCTACCTATTTAAACTCGCATTCCTCTTTCTAACTACACATCCATATCCAGTAAGACGCTTGTTCGGTTGTATGTCCTCCTATGTTCTTCATACAACTCGATCGTCTTTTACCTGCCAAAGCCAAATCCTTCAAAAAGCTGTACACTGAACAACCAAAAGCACCTCTTGCACCGACCTCAACTGCGTACAACAAACGGCTTAACTCACGTTGTTTTATTTCTATAACAAGCTCTTCATACTTGGCTGTTTTGTAGCGTGACTGTATGTATGTATGTATGTATGTATGTATGTATGTATGTATGTATGTATGTATGTATGTATGTATGTATGTATGTATTATTATTATTATTATTATTAGATTATTTATATATAAAGCGCCCTTTATTGTTCTCAAAGGCGCTAACAATGTAAAAGTTGATTAAATGCGCTAATGCAAAAGTTGATTAAATGTTTCACTTCAATCAAATCATATCATGAAAAGTTTGTCTGGAAAGATGGTTCTTTAGCTTTCTTCGAAATTCAGTAATTAACAACCCACGATTTCGCAAGTCAACCGGCAAACTGTTCCAAATCTTCGGTCCCATAACAGCGAAATCTCTGCAACCAACAGCAAGGTGAGTTTGTCGAATTGTTAACAAATCTAAATCGTTTGACCATAACTTCTGACACTGTAACAGTGCATTTCTTGGAACAATTCGATCCATTAAATGTATGTATGTATGTATGTATATATGTATGTATGTATGTATGTATGTATGTATGTATGTATGTATGTATGTATGTATGTATGTATGTATGTATGTATGTATGTATGTATGTATGTATGTATGTGTAAGAATTTTTCTATGTGATACCTGTCTTTAATTATTTTGGCATCATCAACCCCCTTCCCAGATATGCACCTTATTTTGATCAGAAAGATGTTTAAATAAAATTTTTTTTGAACTGAAACAACTTTTTAGTCTATTTAATATTTTTGCTTCTACTGCAACTATTTCTACTGCCACTACTACTACTACTGCTGCTACTACTACTTCTGTTACTACTACTGCTGCCGCTACTACTATTACTA